AAAACCTTGGTTGAAATATCTAATATATCTGACTCATGAACCAAAACAAACCAAAATTTAAAGTTAGGTACAAATTTTAAAGGTTGCATCGGGTGAGCAACAGTTTATCGATTCCAGAAATTAATGCGCTGATGAGAAAACGAAAACTCGTATATCGGGACGATAAAGTGGCCGGTAAACTAAAGGTTAGATGAGAAAACGGCCCTAAGTCCTATTATTATTATTTCATTCGTATAACGAATTAATAGTTTTTGATAGCTTAAACGTATTCCTTATGTTAGGGATAAAGCTAAATTGTCAAAGGTTTACGATGCACGTTGTCGTACGTATGACGCATACGTTATGCTAATTATCACATATATATACATACATCGTGTTATGTTAAACTTGTGCGAAGGTTAAACTTGTAAGTCCTATTAGGTATATCATGCAATTTGTAATGTTTTGTATAACGTCAATTTGTGTTAAGATTACCATATAAATTGTCACATACATCTTAATTAAAATGAACAAATGAGAATACATATTTTTTTATTCCGTTCTACATGGGATTTAAATGCGGTTTAAAAAAAACAGGGGGCTTCAATCAGCTGTACTAAAAGCTTACAAATTGGTGCTGATTTTGCGTTCGCCTTTGTTTTTCGATTCTTCTCAAATTGAGAGATAATCGTTCGTTTCTCTTCTGCAAGTTGATAATTGTCACTAGAGATCTATTCGAACAGACTCTTGATTACAGGAAAATTACGAAATTCAAATTGTCTGTTGCTAGCGCTCAGAAAATAGATGACGCTGTTAAGAGGTGATGGAGTGGCAATGTTGCCAGCAGTTTACTAAAGGTGGCGCCATCTGTTTTTCAGTATTATTGTCACTACATCACCTTTTTGATTGTATTTATTTGCACAAGCTGGGATAACTTCCAGGCCACCGTAGTCGAAAACCTATATAAGGAAATTATTCTATTCCTTTGTCAAATCAAAGCCGTCATCGTTTCGCCACTTCTCGCTCGCTATGTTTGAGTTCCGGTCGCTTAAAGAAGAATTGTGCATGTGAAAGCAACAACAAAGTTAGCTAGCACGGATAGACGATAGCGAGTTTGGTTATACCTCATTGAGTTCGTTCGTTTCGCCACTCGCTAACTGTTGGCGAATTGATGACCATTGTGTACAAATACAAGTGAGATATCTTAGCAATAGACGTCATCCTGGGCCACAGCTGCGATCATCTGTTTTTAGAGTTGCTTATTTTGGTCTAACCTCCTCTTTTTTGACCTGAGTTGCATTAAATAGTCTCTTAAAACTTGGTAGTATTTGGTGTTCAAATGGTAACATATATGCCCAAAAACTTGAAAAATATTAAATGATTGCTTTTTAAAAATGCTATTTACAAACTTTTGTTTTGATTGCGACATTAGAAATATTCAGATTTAAAAGTTTTTCACATATGTTTTAAGATTTTAAAGCTTTTAAAAAGTACGGTAGAATGCAACAATGTGCTTGAATTTGTTTGCATCTTCGTCAGCTTATTCGTTTGCAGACTAGAAAAAAATGGCGAACAGCATTAAGCTGTAACCGCGTTAAGATATTAGACATAGCTGAAGGCGAGCTAATACAGTGCATTCGTCGCCGGATAATGATGTTGCATTTCACCCAATGGAAATTTCTTGGTGACTGGCGGCGATGACGATACAATAAGATTGCTTGATTTATTAGAAGGTCGACCAATTTATACACTAGTAGTGCACTTTAGCGGAACCATATAATATAATTTTTTTTCCTGTATTCAACAGTTGCTCGTTTGGAAATCTAATTTGCATACTTTTGATGCCAATAGCTCTCGCAACAAACAAGCCAGTTCTCAATGAGTCCAAATTGATTTTAGTCATGGAACAGCTCCACATAACTCCGCCATAGACACACCAGTTGCTGGAGTACCAAAAAGCTGTGATGACAGTATTTTAATTGATCCACGACAATCGGTGGCATATGGAATGCGTGATGGAAATTTTCTGGTGCTTGATAGCCAATATACTACAAGAGTGAAACGCTGTGATAGTATTTTTTCTTAAATTTCCATCTTTTATTTGCAGTTACATTAAGAAGCTCATAGAAGACAGAGCGGTTGGTGAGGAAGGTGTCGAGTTACTGCAGTACTGCAACTGGGAAAATCCGCATTTCGCACGTGCCCCACTCGTATGGAATAGTAGCTTATGTCAAAAGGCTGGTTTTAGTATAATGCGGCATTCGCAGCATACCCTCACTGGCGCCGAGCCGTTGAAGACATTTTGGCAAATAAACGTGCAAGAAATAGTTCCGATACTAGCACGTCCATATTCTTGTTAAGGGTCATCAAAAAATTCCTTATGTTGTAAATAATAAAGGGAATGCCGGATTATACTAAAGCCAGCTTCCCGACATAAAC